AATGCAAAGCTATGATTCAACAACAAATTTATTGAATAAAACTTTATTAAATAGACATTTGTTTTTACAAAATACAAACTACGAGTTTAGGGCAACACACCCAACAGTCTCAATGCTACGAACTTAAAGCGTTCTTGAAAAATCCGTCCTAGTGTCTAAATGCTGCTGCGACGTTTTTTTTTAATTATAAGAATAGGATTTTTAAGCCACTTAAGAGATGAGATTTAGAGAGATTTGTTGATAGTTTGTCTTAACTTAGAAGAGAGTTATCAAGACTCGGGATTATGGAGGTAGCTTTAGGGACAAACAATGGACACGTCGAACCGTTAAAAAACTTATCCATTAAAGTCTAAATTAGACTGCTCTCGGTGTACTCCAAGTATCTCCACAATGTTATGATATTGGCTTTGGGCATAACCTTTGCTTACAGTTTCACCCAAAAGGCTTCACACCAATAGAGATAACTGTCGGATCAATCTCTTCCCTAGCCAATGTGAAACTTTGTTTGCATTTCTCTTACAAACCCAACACTCAGGAGAGGTAGTTGAGATTTGTTCTTGGCCTATAGAATTAATAGTCCATCATTCATTCTTGGGTAATTAAGTAATTAGTTCATAGATTGAATAGGTGAAATCAATTTCCTAGGACTTTTCTCCGTATTTATTTTCTCTTTTCTATTGCATGTTTGTTTACCTTCATATATACTCTCTCAGTCAATTCGATTCTTTAAATATAATTGAGCGATTGTATCTATGGTACTTGAGTGAGCTAGAAACTTAACCCAGATCTAGAGGACGATATCGTATTGACTTACCAACTATATTAAAACTTGACCTAGTATTGACTTGCTTCACTCGTACTAATCCTTAGCTGTTATGAAACATATCGACCTTACATTGCATAAAGAACGTTACATTCAATTTTGAGTTGAATGCAAGATTTGGATTATTTGAATAGGGCACGAAGAAGAAGAAAAATTGTACAAGCAGGGGCTTTAAAAGATAAAAGTTCGAAAGATAAAAATAGAAATCGAGTTCCAAAATAAATGGGCTCCTCATAAGAAGTTGATGAACTAAAACAAGTAAATATATGATTGATAAACCTTTTTTTTAATGCAATATCATTGATATATTTGATATATTATTTAGAAACCTAAAATCTTACTTAAATAAAAAAAACTTGAAAAGTATTTGTTAGTGCA